TTCCTAAAACATAATGTTGTGAAAGTGCTACACTCAATATGCCAGCAAATTTGGAAAACTCAGCAGTGGCCATAGGACTGGAAAAGGTCAGTTTTCATTCCAATCCCAAAGAAAGGCAATACCAAAGAATGTTCAAACTACTATTCAATTGCACTCATCTCACACACTAGCAAAGTAATGCTCAAAGTTCATCAAGCTAAGCTTCAGTATTATGTGAACTGAGAACTTCCAGATGCTCAAGCTGGATTTAGAAGAACCAGAGATCAAATTGCCAAAATCTACTGGATCATAGGAAAAGCAAAAGAATTCCAGAAAAACATCTACTCCTGTTTCATTGGTGATGCTAAAGCCTTTGACTATGTGGATCACAGCAAGCTGTGGAAACTTCTTCAAGAGATTGGAATACCAGATCACCTTACCTGCCTCCTGAAAACCCTGTATGCAGGTCAAGAAGCAACAGTTAGAACCAGACATGGAAAAACAGACTGATTCAAATTTGGGACAGGAGTACATCAAGGCTGTATATTGTCACTCTGCTTACTTAACTTAATATGCAGAGTACATCATGTGAAATTCTGGGCTGGATGAAGCACAAACTGGAATCAAGATTGCCTGGAGAATATCAGTAATCTCGGATATGCAGATGACACCACCCATGGCAGAAAGTGAAGAGAAACTAAAAGCCTCTTGAGGAGAGTGAAAAAGACAGCTTAAAACTCAACATTCAAAAAATGAAGATCATGGCATCCAGTCCCACCACTCCATGCAAATAGATAGGGAAAACATGGAAACAGTGACAGGCTTTATTCTCTTGGGTTTCAAAATCACTGCAGAGGTGATTGCAGCCATGAAATTAAAAGTCAATTGTTCCTTGGAAGAAAAGCTATCACCAGCCTAGAAAACATAGTAAAAGGCAGAGCACTACTTTACCAACAAAGGTCTGTCTAGTCAAAGCTATAGTTTTTCCAGTATTCATGTATATGTGTGAGAATTCACCATAAAGAAAGCTGAGCACTGAAGAATTGATGCTTGAACTGTGATGTTGGAGAATAATTTTGAGAGTCCCTTGGACTGCAAGGAGATCCAACCAGTCCATCCTAAAGGAAATCAGTCCTGAGTATTCATCAGAAGGACTGATGCTGAAGCTGAAACTTCAATACTTTGGCCACCTGATGTGAAAAACTGACTCATTTGAAAAGGCCCTGATGCTGGGAAAGATAAAAGTCAGGAGAAGGGGATGACAGAGGATGAGATGGTTGGTAACATCACCAACTCCATGGACATGAATTTGAGCAAACTCTGGGAGTTGGTGATGGACAGGGAAGCCTGGGGTTGCAAGCAGTTGAACATGAATGAGCACCTGAACTGAACTGAACTGATTCAGATGTGTATATCTTTCTTTTTCTCCTTTGCCTTTCACTTCTCTTCTTTTCTCAGCTATTTGTAGCTCAGTTGGTAAAGAATCTACCTGCAATACAGAGACCAAGGTTTGATTCTTGGGCTGGGAATATTCCCTGGAGAAGAAAATGACAACCCATTCCATTATTCTTGCCTGGAGAATCCCATGGACAGAGAAGCCTGGAGGGCCACAGTCCTTGGAGTAACCAGAATTGGACACAGCTTAGCAACTAAACCACCACCACCTCTGAAAACCATTTTGCTTTTTGTATTTCTTTTTCTTGGGCATGATTTTGATCACAGCCTCATGCAGAATGTTACTAACCTCTGTCCATAGTTCTTCTGGCACTCTGTCTCCCGGTCCAGTCCCTTGAACCTATTTGTCACTTCCACTGTATCATCGTAAGCAATTTGATTTAGGTCATACCTGAATGGCCTAGTGGTTTTCCCTACTTTCTTCAATTTCAGTCTGAATTTTGCCATAGGGAGTTCATGATCTGAGCCACAGTCAGCTCCCAAACTTGTGTTTGCTGACTGTATATAGCTTCTCCATCTTTGGCTGCAAAGAATGTAAACAATCTGTTTTCAGTATTGACCATGTGTAGAGTCATCTCTTGTGTTGCTGCAAGAGGGTGTTTGCTATGAATAGTGTGCTCTCTTGGCAAATTTCTGTTAGCCTTTGCCCTGCTTCAAGTCCAAATTTTGTACTCCAAGTCCAAACAGACCAGTTACTCCAGTTGACTTCCTACTTTTGCATTCCAGTTCCCTATGATGAAAAGGACATTTTTTTTTTTTTTTTTTTTTTTTTGGTGTTCGTTCTAGAAGATTATGTAGGTCTTCATAGAACCATTCACCTTCAGCTTGTTCGATATTAGTGTCTGGGGCATAGACTTGGATTACTGTGATATTGAATGGTTTGCCTTGGAAACACACAGAGTTCATTCTGTCATTTTCAAGATTGCACCCAAATACTGCATTTTGGACTCTTGTTGACTATGAAGGCTAGTCCATTTCTTCTAAGGGATCCTTGTCCATGGTAGTAGATATAATATCATAGTAGTATATATATATAACATAGTTTGTAGTAGTAGTAGATATAATACTATTTGGAGGGCCAAAAATTCAAGATTAAAAGTGTAGGTGTTAGCTGTACCATTAGCAAATCCATTTTTATTTTTCACTTCTTTGTCTTCAGCATTGTTGATTATCATTTCTGATATATGAATGCACAACATTTGCCGCCGCCTCCACTTGCTGTCCTTCCTAGCCAAATCCAAACTCATTTTCTTTTGTTAAATCTTAACAAAAGAATTTGCCTTAAAGACAGGCATGACAGGAGGGTATATCTATATGTATATCCATGTAGGTATCAATATAGAGAAAAATATCTAGGTCTATATATTGGAAAATATAGCCAAGGTCATATAGCCAAGGTGCCATTATACTGGTTAGATGAAAAATAAAACTTGTTTTGCACCTCTATTGATAGTGGCATTTCATCCTATGAAACCTCAACTCTTCATTTTTGAGAACAGAAGTTAATAATTGCCTCTATGCATTAAGGAGAGGTAGACTATTTGCCCAGAAGGTGATGAATTTAATGGCTTTCTGGGTCTTGCAATTTTAATTTCAGTTAACTTCAACTTAAATTTTATGTGATCTATTTTATTATCTTCTTATAAGAGAAACAATAATATTATTACAGTTTGGCTTTTACACTGACAGAAAAGACAAAAAGGAAAACATTTCAAATCCCACTTGACTTGAAAAACTAAAGCCTTATCAACTAAATGACAAATGTATGATTTGTGACATCCAGTTACTCACAATTGTTTAAGTTGTTTTTTGTTGTGACAATTTGTAGTGAAATATAACAGAAAAGTGGAGGAATAACAACAAAAAGATGTATTTAAAAGCAAAATTCAGAACTTAGAGAAACACTCTGAAGAAAAGCACTCTGATGTTTTAGCAGGGATTATCAAATGTCATCCTCAAACTCCAAATACAGGTATTTGGTGACATCTAATAAAAGGATACTTGAAATAGTAAAGGTAATACATATTTCAAGAATTCTTTACCAATTGGGCCCTTGTAAGAACTCCCCATTAATCAGTTCTTTCTCTTCTTTTCCCAAATGTTAGATCAAATAAACACAGGCACTTCCTATATTCTTTCCTAAAATATAATAGAAGACAGTACTTTAAATATAAAAGATACCAATACATTAAATGAAGGCATAATACCACTAGATTTCTAAAATTTCTTACAGTTAACCTTAAAGGAGAATCCTACCCTCTAACCATTCTTCAGAACCTTGGCTTTAGCTGATGTGACCCAGTCTTGCAGACTCTAAACAATATGATTCAAGCAATGGCACCCAAAGACCTGTAAAGATTTAAAACACGTTTTCTTTCACAACTTAATGGAATTCGGGGACTGAATATACTGTCTAGGTCAGGAGACCTCAGATGGTAGAGAGGAAATCAGAAACCTTTCATCTATTGCTTCTGCAGTGACTCTCTGGGTGTGGCACAGACTCCATCCAACACAGTCAAGTGAAAGGAAGTCTTAAAGATGACCTATGAATAGGCAGGGACACCATAGCTCTAAAACTTTCCAGGACAATTCATTTTCTTCTACCCTTTTCAAGCAACTACTGACATCATCATTGCAGTGCTTAAGCATTCCTGGGGTGACATGGAGTAGAGCTGAGTATTCTGGAGCTCCAGTTAAGAAAAGATGTGCATGAAAAACACCCATTTTTCTATTGGGCACACATAGTCACTTGTGCACGCTAACCCAAGCGCTGCTCTTTTGGTTCTCCTTCCTCGGCCTCTGAACTATGTGCTTCCTAAATCCTGAGGCAGGACCAGCACAGAGGAAACCTGTCACCTGAAAAAGAGCCTGCGAAGAAAGGACTCTTTAACTCCCCTTCTTGCTCTGTAGGTCAAGCGGTTCTTACTCCTAGTTCCCTGACTGTCAAAGAACAACGTATAGGCCCAAATCAGTTTTCATTTCTTAGTCCCTGCCCCACCTTGCTCGTTACCCTTCTTTGTTCTTTAGATTAACTTTCTTTCCTTGCTCTCTTTACTGGTCTGTTTCGGCCTCGCTGTGTCTCTTCCGCAGCCTGACCTTCCCCACTTCTTCGCTCGCTGGTGCCGGGCTCCTAGGCTCGCCGGCGGCTGCCCTTTGCTCCGTTCCTCACCCTTGCTCTCCCTGAGCCCCTCATCTCAGCCAGCCCCTTCTCAGGCCCTTCAGATTCCCTGGGCTGTTCGCGGATGAGAAGCATTCGCTGCAGCGCGGACGGGAGTCCTGTGCGCAGCCCAGCGGCAGGAGAGGGCGAGGCTGAGAGAAAGGCTGAGCTGGCGACGGAGGCAGCCGGTCCTCCCCAGAGCCTGCCAGAATGCGGCAGCGGGCCGGGAGCACCCGGAGGGACCAGCTCCCGGGGGCTCTGGTCGGGGCTTGAGGACCTGGCCCGCGGGTGGATTTCCAGCCTCACGTGGCCGCGGAACAGGGGCGCCTGGAGAGCAAAGAGAGGGGCCCTGGGGGTGCCCACCCTCAGAGTGGAACCTCCTGCCACCGCGGGAAGGAGAGAGGCGGGAGCGGTGAAAGGGAAAAACCTGCCTCCACTGGCTGCGGAGCGTCGGAGAGCCTGGGGCGCTCCGGTGAGCAGCCGGGGGCGAAGCCCGCCGTGCGGTGGGCGAGGGACTTGCGGAGCTAGCGCTCGGCGCCCTCGGAGGGGCCGCCGGGGGGCGCGACGCGCGGGGCGGCGGGGGCCCTAGGTGGCCGGTGGCAGACCCCAGGCGCGGAGCGCGCGGCGTCCGCGGCGCCAGTGTGTGTACGCGTGTGTGTGTGCGCGCGCGCGTGCGTGTGTGTGTGTGTGTGTGTGTGTGTGTAGGTGAGAAAGCGAGGGCCGAGCGTGAGTGTGAGCTAGGCACAGATAGAGCGCATGTCTCTTCCCTGAGAGCAGCCAGGAGCCGCTCCACCACCATCTTTTGCATGTGCAATATTTGCAGCCGGACAGCAAACCTCTCCCAGGGCTATGGAGACTGCGGGAAAAATCTGGCAGCTCGGGATGGATTGCTAAGGGAAGTCATAACCCTAAACCGTCCAAACCTCTTTTCGTTTTTTTTTTTTTTTTCCGGTTGTTTTTAATTTTAGCGCCATAGACCTCAATGCCTCTCTGAACGGTCTTTAGGAAGAGTGCGAGAGAAAGAGCGCGCGCCAGGGAGAGGAGAAAAGAAGATGAGGATTATTTGCAGACAGATTGTCTTGTTGTTTTCTGGAATTTGGGGACTCGCCATGGGAGCCTTTCCGAGCAGCGTGCAAATAGGTAAGCTCTGATCCAGTGGGGTATGCATGTAGGTGGCTGTAGCAGATACCGAAAGTGAGTTAAATGAGTTGCTGATAAGCAATTTAAGGGAACCGTCGGCGTCTCCTTCCCCCTCTTCTCTCGTCCTTTCTTCCCTTTATAAGGACTGCCTGCTTGGTGCTGGTTCAGTTGAAACAGCACAGAGCGGTTCTCAGTCTATACTCCATCCATCCTCAGTCTATACTCCTATTTGCCTCATGTCGCTGAAGTAGGATTGCAATAAGTTGGGAGAAAATCTCCATAGGGTTTGATTGCATTTTATCTAATATCTCTGTTCATTTCTTTCTCTGGAGTGTGAAGGGATCTAGAGTTTGCTTAAACAAAACAAAACCCATCCACTCTTCTTCCCGTGCTATAGGCAACAGCTTTCGCTATTACAAGAAGACATTGTTTAGGTAAAAAAAGAAAAAAGACATTTACACCCCGACCTCCTTGCCTTTGCTTGCTACCAGTTAACCGATTCCAAAATTATATCCCTTTCCTGGAACCTTTTCTTCTTTTGTTTTCCTCTTGAATGTTTTGCCCCTAATCCTCCCTCTGGACTTTATTTCTAGGGACCTTATCCATCCTGTCCTTGGCTTTTTTTTTTTTTTTTTTTGCTGTTCTTCCCTGTCTTTTGATGGGACGCAGCTATTGAATTCCTTCCAGCTAAGCCCAGGCTCACACTGCATCATTTCTTGTGGACAGTGCACAAACCGGGGCTAATTAGGCTGGGTCCAGGAACTGCATAAAAACAAAGTTCAGATCTCCCTTCTGATTTCCCTCTCACCTGCATGTCACCACAAACCTTCATTTCTGTATTTTAATGCAAATTGTCTTTTCTGCTTATCTGCATGCATCTTAGAAATGCCTGGAGCTGGTTTCTGTAGCAGTGTGCTGGGAATCTTAGGGAGGGCAAGAGAGAGAAGGCAAAACAGATTAAATGGTCTGTCTCAGAGGCCACTGTGATCATGACAAATTGGGACAGTAAAAAGCTGAGCTGTCCTAAAGACTGAAATACTAAACATCCTCTTTAGAGACAAAGGGCAGTCTCCCAAGATGTGGCAGGGCTAGCTGCCTTATGTGTGTATTGGTGAATGGCCGTGGATTTGACAGTGCTTGGTGCGGGTGTAATAATAGTTACAAGAGGAAACACTGAACGGGCTTTTTCTGCTGTTTTTGATAGGTGGTCTCTTCATCCGAAACACAGATCAGGAGTACACTGCTTTTCGATTAGCAATTTTTCTTCATAACACTAGCCCCAATGCGTCAGAAGCTCCTTTTAATTTGGTTCCTCATGTGGACAACATCGAGACCGCCAACAGCTTTGCTGTAACGAATGCTTGTAAGTAAAACATAAGTTGAAGATATGTGAGAAGAGAGTTAAGATAGGGCAATAGAGTCCCTTTCCTCTGTATTATTACTGTTATTATATTTTAGAAAGGCATTCAAGCTCTCCACAGTTTGCTGGTTAGAGAAGAAATCAGAGTTACAGTCAAGATACAGTCTCAGGGATATTTGGCTGGTCTTTCCTTCTCTTCCTTCCTCCTTCCCTCCCTTCATCTCCCCCTCCCTCCTCCTCCCTCCCTCCCTTTCTTCCTTTCTTTCTTCTTTACTTTTTCTTGAAATTACTTTCTCCTTTAACGTTTCAGTATTATTCCTACAACCTGAATATCAGGTTAGTGAAAATTGTACTCAATTTTGTTTTTTATTTCTTTTTGTTTGGCTTGTATTTGCTTTTCACTTGAGTGAGCATACATCTTGCTTTTAAAGAAGACACATGCTCTGTTAAACTGGTAAAGGCAATGGAAGGTTTGTTAACAGTGAGAAAGCGGGGAGTGGTGGTGTGGAGGATGTATATTCCACTAGGTTGGTTGACACTGCAGATGATCTGCTGATGTCACTTGAGGCTGCCCTGCTCTTATATTCTGGGTTGTAAATGTCTCTTGCTATCAGGCAATGTATATATCCTATGGATATAACTCCATGGATTCTTACCTCGGTGGCAAATCATGTTAATCTCCAGTCCACTGAATTCATATGCTAACCCAGCTGGATCTGTTATCACCACAGAAAATTAAGATTTGGTAATCTTACCTAATGCTATAATTAAACAGTTTTTTAGAGCTCCCCTGTGAAAATACTGTATAACATAAAGTAAAAATATAAGCAACTGTGTATTAATTTAAAAATCAATAAAATATGATCAATAGAGCATTTAGGTTACATTTCACTCTTGAGGGAAATACATGTTTTCCATACCTCCTTATTTTTAGATGCTAATTTACTGCTTCTTAAAATTTGTGTGTTAAGATAATTGTTATAGTTTATGTAAGACATGTAGGAATAGTTTCTATATAAAGTTTTGCACAACAATAATAAAATATTCAGTCTGCATTGTATAATATTTTTAGTATATCAAGCTGAGTATATTTTTATTTTGAAAGTACTCTTTCTAAGTACAAGAAAGTGTATTTTGAACAAACAAATGAACTTGAAAACAGAGTTTTTATGTGTTACGAGCATATCTGTTTCATTTAATTCATATATATCTGCGATTAATTCATCTAACAAATAACATGATCATGTTTCCTTAATTTTAGGCACCTAATTAGTACTTTATTTTTGAATTTCATTTCATAAGGAGGTTAAAGCATTTGACTTTTTTTTAATCTGCAGCAATTGTATTAATTTGCAGGAATGCTTTAGTGCCTTTGAGTATTACTTAATCTGAAAAATCACTTGTTTTATTAATAATAAAATCAATATTCATTATAAAGATAATTATATGGGAATTGTTTTTAAGCAGAAATGGACATAAATTAGAGCTAAGTTTATGGATAGTTATTTCTTTTAATGTCTTGTTATTATTTTATGTTCCAAGTTTTGATAGAGATGTCAACATTTCAAATAGTTCTAGGTATAAAATATTTTCCTTAGGAGATGAATATTATCTGTTGATTTAGGTATTTTCCTTATATCTCTCTTAGGATTTTGGCAACAAAAACACTACTAAGTTTAAAAATAATTCATGATTCAAATACATCTGAAGGTACTTTGTCTACAGTAAATTGCTATTTAAATATATATTTTTATTATTTAATTTTGAAAGACTTCCGTAAAAGTGGAGCTATATTAGTTTTATTTTTTCCAGATTAGGTTCTTAAGTATTCTAAAGTTTGTATTATGGCTTCCAGTTTTATAAACTACAGTAATAATTCTTTCTTTTCTCCTTCCGTATAATTTGTTAATCTCATTCAGGTTAATTTTAGTTAGTATCATATAATTTATGTGATAAAAATGTTATATAGAATAAAATGTTAGTGGCAAAGAACCTGTAAACATAAGAAATTGATAAGAAACTGTACACATCATAAAAGGTAGAAACAGGTATAAAATATAGACAGTACACTCTTCTTTAACATGTTACAATTGAGAAAATTGAAGGTAAGAAAATAAAGTCTGCTTATTTTGATTCCAAGTGTAATGTAATGTTAGTGGTATCACATTTTTCATAATCACTTGTAATTGACTTTGTGTACATGTTTAAAGTATTAAAAAAAATAAGTTGTAAATAAGGGAAATACATTTTCTAGTGAAGAAAGGAAAATTTTTTGACAAATGAGTATACCAATTGTCCTTAAGGTGAATATAAGCAGAATCTGGGGAAAATCAACGGTCAGAGAGTATGGGTCAGGTGACTGGTGTTTGTTAAATGAACTGACCAAAAGCCTGTACATGCATGATTTTCCAGTCTAATTAAAGGTGAAACATAAGCAATAAGCATGAGGCAACCTCATATATCAAGTGCTATGCCTTTGGGTACAAAAGGTAAAAATAATGTTCTAGAGAATTAACATTAACTTATTCCTCACAGTGAGACAGACTAGATTTAAAAATTTTTCATGTTGTATTAAATATAAAGGTATAATAAGTGTTCAAGTAGGTTTATTTTAAATATGATTTTCCTAAAGTGAATCCTTGTAAAACTGCGTAACCTAATGTCTTTGTGAATGAGAACAACTATGCAGGATATATTTATTTTATGAAATATACACTTAAAAACTAAAAAAGGCAGATTAAGGAATAAAGAGTATTATTGGTCATCTACTGAATAAATGTAATTTAAGGTTGATTCTTCTGTCTCAAAATTAAACTTTAAAGAATATTTTAGACAATCTAAACATTCTGTGTATGGGGTTTTCATACTACTTAAGTGTCAACCCCAATAAACTCAAAATTTGCACTGTTGGGATAAATCTCAAGTTTCTGAAGGAGAATGGGGTTTATTTTGGCTTGTAACTTTTTTTTTAACTGCATTTGTGTAAGATTAAATTAAAATACTGTTCTATTTTTAAACTATTCCCATTGTTGAAAAATCATACTTTGCCTAGTATAAAACTGAAATTATAAGAAATACAGATAATATAGAATTATGGCATATTTCAATAACAAAGTAAAGGTGTAATAGGTAGTCAAATTTCAAAATGTAATTAAAGATATACATTTTTTTTTTTTTTGCTGTAATCTATTCAAAGTATGGGCTTTGCCAAAATAGATATTTTAAAAATAATTTGATGTGGACAATTTTCTTTAACAAAATATTATGCATTTGACTCCAAATAGCTATCTTCACAAGCAAACATGCTAGGTAAATTGAGTATGCTCTCTGCAAAACATTTAAGACAACCTAAAATGAGGCTGTGTTCTTATATTTTTCTAATAGTTAATAAAGATGTTTTTGTTTGGAGGATGATATATCTTAAATTTGGTCAAAGCAATAATAACCAAAATACTGACATAGTCTATCATCAAGTTTTCTAAAAGATAAAAAAATGAGATATTGCAATTATTCCTTTAGTTCAGTTATATTTGAAATCCTGTGAAAGAGGCAGTCTCTTTACAATAAAACACAGAGATGTTCAGTTTCTCAAATTATTCTTTCAATTTCAAATGGGTAGTAGGAAATACATAATGAGATAGATTAAGTAGTCATGCAGATTAAGTAGTCACTTAGGTGAAATAGAATTTTTGTTGAATATTTCCAACTTTTTAAACTTGGATAGGAAAGACTAACTGGTTAATATTTTTGTTGTCTTTTATTTGTTTATTTTTTAATGATTTGTTTATCTTACTCTCCTTTTCTGTCTAAAATCTGTCTACTCAGTGGTCTGCAACATGACGGATTGAAAAGTTGTAAATCAAGAATAGAATGCATATTATACCCTAGTAGTGATGAAAAAGTTGTTCTTTTTTACCTTAAATATTAATTTTATTTGTGAAGGGTTTAGTTATCAACCCTAAATATCCAAGTTGAGTGCTACTTGTAAAAGTAGGTTATTATGTAAAATATACTTGTTTAGTTAATCTAAATATGTTTTAAATGTGACAGTATATGCAATAGGGTCTGCAGGCAGTTTTGTTTATATACTAGGGACTTAATTCAAACATGTTAAATTTAAGGGTGCTGAATTAATAAGGTCTTTTGGCTTTAATAATGTTTAAATATTATATAAGAACATGAAACCCTAAAAAGGCATTCTAAGAGTATATATTGGACTGATATAATATCTTAAAAATGCTAAAATTAAAATTCTGATATTTTGACTTTTATAGGTTGTTATAAGAAATATATTAGAATATTGAATTCTATTGAATTGAACTGAATATTGTTTGACTTCTGATTGTTTTTAGGAAAATGAGTTACTGTAATTAGGTTTCCTTATTTTGAGTTGATAGCAAGATTCTATGTTGATTTGAAATAATTACTTAGTTTTATGATATTATTTCCCCCTTTTATCTTAATTTTCCATCATGAGATTGATGACAAAGATGAGTCATATTCGTGTGGCTTGGACCTTTCTTAAATGATGAACAATTTGTATTGATGTATTTCAGAATTGTCACAGGATTAAACTTCCATAAAGCCATTTGAAAAAATTCTCTTTACTTTTTTCTAATGAATTCTCCCAAGAGGTGTTTATTTCTCAAAGAGGAACAATTTTTACTTTCTGACTTTAGGAATTATGTATATATCTTATTAACAGAATTTTACTAGTGTTCAGGAATTTAAAATGAAGAATAAATTCCATATACCTTACATTTTATTATAACACAGATTTTAAACTGTTTTTGCATACATGATTTTATTTGACCTCAACTAGTCTTGGAGTGAGCCTGTCTGAGAAGATAGTCATTATTTTGTAGGTAAGCCAGATTTGGCTCAAAGAAATCGCTTAATTTGCCAAAGACCATGTAGCTAATAAGTCACAGAGCTGAGATTTGAACCCAGTTGCTCTAGTCACTATCCTAGCACTTTAACCAGGAGACCATGGATGTGAAAAA